TTTCTTATTATATCACACAATTATAACTTCCAGTGTGCACCAAGCGTCCTCAAGCTCTTAAAACGCGTGTCAGCTTTGATAAATTTTGGATAAAGTTTGAGATAAAGTGCCAAACATCAATGTCGGCATTCCCCGTAGATCATTTCTCTCATTTTCGGCTTTCCCCGCAGTCCGGGGCAACGCCGAAAAAGTCACTTCTTTGATATTTTTAGTTTGTGCGCTTAACGGTATGCGAATTCATCAAATGCGCCTGGTATGTTTGAAAGGCAAAAGACTGGCCTCTCGAATGACGCCAACAAGAATAGCTTATGTTGTCTACCTTGCGTGCTACGGGCGTCAGAAAAAAAGTATTCGGCGTTCCCCCAACTTCCCCTAACCCTCGCCGGCCGAGGGGGAGGGGGGGGGGGCGGGTGCCCCCCCACATAGGGTTTTTCGCGATAGCTCCGAACACGCTGGCGATGGAGAGCTGAGACTTGGCATACCTGATCTTTGAATCAAGCCGGATCTTTTGACACCAACCGCATTTTCAGGTCAGGTCAGGTCACTGACCAATGACGTCATAATTAAACCTCTGCACGGTCTTCAGATATCGCAACTTCGCAACGCACTCACTGCCAGAGGAGCTTTCATAGGGAAATGAAACTTGCAGGTATCCATTACGAGTCTCACAACTTGTATGTCTCGGATTTTTCCTTAAGGTCATATGAGGTCAGGTCATTTTCATGACCTCACCATTATAAGTCAATGGGGAAAAATGAAAACTGTTATTCTGGCGCCGGGAACGACCTCCAACTATCTCAAGCACACAGAATCGTGATTTGATGCACTCCTTGCAAGGTAAGATGCGTCACTTTCGCAATGATGACCTTATGTGACGTCATTTATAACGTCATCAAGGTCATATTAGTTTTTCGTCAATAACTCCCGATCAAATTGAGCTAGCGAGCCGGGGAAGCCACCAATGGACTCGGGAAGACCTGCCGAATCGAATGGTATGCGACATGACCTTTTTCGACCAACTTCGTGACCTGGGGGTGGCCTGACCGTTACCTGAGGTCAACACCCTAAGTTGACCTGACCCAAACAAAAAGTATATCATTTGACGCGCCTGAGCGAGGCGAACACGATGCTGCCAAAATCGCGGCTCTGCGGCCGTTTTTTGCGAAGTTATTCACCAAAAACTGAACCGTACCTTGGGGCACTTGACCTGACCTCAGAGGTCACCGGTTGACCTAGGACCTTAAAATAGGGTACCAATCTCTGCGTCTCGTAACGGCGCACACGTTCGTCTTTTCCGCGACGCGCTAGCTCCACCAGGGACGAAACGGCGAGGGGGGTCGTACCCCCTCCCCTCGGCCGGCGCGTATGTAGAAAACCAATAGGTCCGGCGAGGGTTAAATGACCATAGGGACATAACAATGGGCCAAGGGTGCCATTTTCCGGTTGTGTGTCACATAAACTTGTAATTCGGTGTTTGAAAAGTTTATAATGACTTTCGTCCAAAAAAGGCGTCTTTCAACATTCTCCCATTGACTTAGGTACAATGGATAGGTCTGTGATTACAATGGATACAATGGATACCTATGTCTAGTCACGGCGGGAGGTGCGCGGAGAGGCGAGCCCAGGCACGCACAAGTGGGGTGCCCCAACTCATGCACATCACAGGTCGCAAAAATGACCTAGCCCTTAGGTCACCGATGTCAAAGTTCCGAGAAAAACATTTGATCATATCGTTGCTCTTATCCATTGCTGAAAGTTTCAAAGCGATCGGTCACTCGGTGACCGATCGCTTTGAAAAACATTGAAACGTTTTGAAAGGTTAGGTTACTTGATCTGACCTGGTGACCTGACCTTGAGTGACCTTGGTCTGTAATTTTCACGTGCGGAAAATATGTATGATGAGGTGTCAAAAACGCGAAAAACTACAGGTGTGTGTGCGTGTTCAAACAACCCCCCACCCGGCAGGGCGCGGGTTAGACTGTGTTTCAAATATTTCACCCCAAGGCCCTAGTTAAACCAAGCTTAACTAAAATATGAGTAAGCTTTAACCATCAGCCATCAGCCTGCTAAAATAGAACAGCCTTTCCACAAACATGTATTAGCTAAATGAAGTGTGAACAATGCAGCTGGCGAGAATCATTCTCAATGGTCTCTCTGAGCCAGCCTTGGATCTCACCAGAAAGATCTTACAACCACCAGCCCCATGAGCGCAGATGGAGGATCACAGCATGTACTGCAATGTCCTTGTAATAAATTTCAGCACTCCATAACGGTATCAAAGACCAAGTCAATATACTTCCCGCAGATAACCAGCTGTGCCTCTTCACAATGACCTAAATTTAGTAGTCTGAATCATAGTCATAGTCCTCCTCATTGACCTCAATGCTCTGGAAGTTGACAGTGTACCTCAGCATCCCTCCCACTCCACCGAACCCTCGGACAAACTGTGAGCCCTCTTGTGACCTGTCAGTGATGATCTCGAGCGATGCTCCGAAGGACTTGTAGTTGTTGGCCAGCCACTCCAGCAAAGGCATGGAATCCACCAGCTCCATCTCAACACCTGAATCACTGTCAGTGAAGTGGGATCTGTCCTTTTCTTCCTCAGGTGTCAAGTGCAGAATCTTCTCCTCCCCACTTGCGTGGTTCTTGAGGACAATCCTCTGGATGTCCAAGTTTTCCCAACAGATCAGGGTTTCCACTGCTCCAAGCTCCAGAGCAGCCAGGGTGTCTTTGACTCCAAAGCAGTACTTCCCAGTGTCCTGGCTGATCTCATCAAAGTAGCGCCCAATCAGCTTCTTCTCCTGGATGAACTTGACATTTGCCAGGCACTCAGCTGACAGCTCAATGGCTTGGTTGAAACCATTCTCTCCACCATATGATACATCCACCAGCTTGATGATTGTTGCCTGGAGGCGAGGATCAAACATGTCTGACTGGCTCAGCTCTGTCTTGAAGTCTGCACTTCCTGCAAGGATCATCCCAGCAATGTTGGGCCGGTCATTGGTGATGAAAAAGGTCACTGCAGTTTCAGCCACTTTTCTCACATAGTTATGCCTCTTTTCCATCCTGAGACGGGCAAATCGGAGCGCTGACTGACCTCCACGACCATGCTTTTTGGGCAGGTCCACAGTGAATTTGTGGAGGACATCCCTGGTGTTGCCTTGCAGAGTTCCAAACAAAGCACCATTACCATCCATGATGATGAAACCAAACTTGTTGTCATCAGCGAGCAACGCCGAGAGGGCCTCAGTGTGGAACTTGTTGTCACAGAGGTAGAGGGATGTATTGATGGCTTTGAATGGTTCAAAATCGATGTTGACTTTCTTTTCCTTACCTTCTTCTGTGACGATAGTGCCACAGTAGATCACCAGTCCTTTTGCTGGAACCTTTGTGTACAATTTCAACCTGTGCTGCACGGATGTGATGGCACCCAACACGGACAATCTGTTCACTCTTGACTTGATGTTTGAGGCCGTACCAAACTCATCAGCCAGCATTTTCGCAACACGCGAAATCTGATCTCTGGGAGGTATAATCAGGGAGATCATGCTCGTCCCGTTTCCCCTTGCCTGCTCCAAGCTTTTGATAAGCTTCTTGATCTTCCATATTTCAACGTTACGATCAGCAGATGTGTCCTCGTTAGACGCCATTTTCTTAGGCTTTTGTTGACTCAAATGCTAGATGGCGAAAGGCGCCACCCAGACAAAGTGGAAATTCACTGCTCTCTTCCTCCTTCAGATAATAAAAACCCGTAAAATGACAAAATGCCGACAAACTCAAGGCCCTATATACCAAACTTTCACACGGAACGACTGTCTACCACATGGCGCAAGACACGGCTCGCTTAGAGGTGGACAAAGAGGACCAGAGTGAATATTCGAATAACGAATAAAGAATATTCGCATATTAATAGATGTTCAAATTGAGGTGAACTACAATTATTTCTATTTGAAAAGAAAATAAACTTTTAAAACGTTAAGAAACAATGTGATTTGTCTGTAATATGCTTCAGAAGTAATACAATTTTTACAAATTCGGTTTGGTAAGGAGCACTATATTCGATGGATTCGATGCGTCAAACCTCAAGGACCATAGATATTATCGATATATATTGTGGTATATTTTTAGGTTAATTGACACCGATATGTGACCTTTGTGTTTCTTTCTTTTAGAAATTGTGGCATACAAAAGAACGTGATTTAATTCGAATTTTCAATGTTCTCAATTTATATAATTATTTTTACACGCCAAATCTCACGAAGCAGAGTGGCGCAGTGGAAGCGTGCTGGGCCCATAACCCAGAGGTCCGTGGATCGAAACCACGCTCTGCTACTTTTCTGAATGAAATGTTTATTAGTATGTTTATAAGTTAATAATCTTCAGCTTGCCTTTTTGCCGATTTTAGTCAGTAGTTGCCTACTAGAAATTGCGTGAAAGCAAACTAACAAACTTGCGCAGTGCGCTGCTGGCGAATTCATCGTGCATGTCACTAGACTGCATCAATGAGGATTGCGGTCTGCGGATAAGGGTTGTTAAAAAATGGAAAGGTTTACGGGCTCGCCGAGAAAACCAGAAAACCAAGGAGGGGCGGCGTGGGGTAAGAGCCCTAGGTTGGAAAGGAAACCTCGACTCTGTTGGCTACCGACTTTCCCTTGGGCAGTCCGGGGAACAGGAAGCGTACTGAGAGCCGGCTTATACGCGGATGGGTTTGTTCGGAGATGGATTTTTTTTCTATATCGCCTATATTGGACATATACGGACATAATTGCTGGGATTAATTCATGTTTGGGCGGGCCTGTCGTTTTTCTGATAAATCACATTTACAGACTACAGTCAGTGAAAAGCCTAGGAGGTGCTCTCGCAATCAACTAAACCTGGAACATAGACATAGGTATCTTGCAACATAGGTACCTTGGATACAGACCAGCAACCCCTTGCCAGCAACCTTTGCTAGGATTTATGACGTCACAATACATTTCAACATTTTAACCATGTACGGTGAAAAAGATAAGCCTTGACAAGCTTGGCATCAGCCGGTCTGTGATGGTCCATGATCCTAAGAAATAAAAAACATAATTCGTGGTGTCTTTTTTGTTATTCCGGTCTTTTCAAATTCAGCTTTAAGAACCAGAACGGCACCGAGGTGCTGTAACTCTATACGGCCTTGGTGCTGTAAGGCAGATTTTGTTGTTGGGATCGCTTGTTTTCTGTTTATTTAAAAGTCTTCCACTTGGTGAGTAGGTACCTAGATAGGTAGATAGGTGCTTACCTACCTAGCTAGGTTGAGTTATCAGGTATGAAGTCAAACCTCAAACTCAGCTTGAATTTATTTCAATTTGTGAATAAGAAATAACACCTAAGTATATGTTTCAGGGCCCTGTTTTGCACCTCAACCTGGTAAAATGTTATGCCTGAGCTCTGTTCGCACCCTGTTTATTTATCAGCAGGCTGCAACCATGCTGCTGCTTCTTGGCTCCTCATTGGTCAAATTTAAGTGGTCTATTCGTTAGACCAATGAGAGGCCAAGCCGCGCCAGCAATAACTTTCTTATGTGGGGAAAACCGACAGCACACTGATATAAAAACAGCAAAGATATAAGCCTCTCAAAAGCGTTACAGGCCGTGCCTGGCCGGGCTGCTCAGACTGAGATTTTTCCGTTATATTGAAAAGACTTTGGTGCGCTCGCTCTCTCGTAATAAGAAATTATAAGAATATGTGCTGTGCAATACATCAGTAGGCGGAACTATGGTCATGAGTACCCAAATATAGGAACGTTCCCATTTTTGGGAACGGAGTTCCCAAATATGGGAACGGGCGTTCCCATTTATGAGAACGGAAGGCAATTTTTCGGCCGTTCTCCCACTAAAACTCAAAAGTGCATCACGTCTCAAAAAAGTGCACGCTGATTTAAGTGTCTACTAAATCTCCATAAAGTTATCTTTAATCTGACCGTGGAACAAGGAAATTGACCGTGGAATGATATTTTTAATGATTTTTTGAAAATGACAGAATGGTGGAAATATGGGTTATACGACATTTAACATGCAATTTTAAGGAAAATGAAGCATTTTTTAGTTTGAGGTAAAGTATAATAATGGTTATGAACTTTCATACTATCGACACCAGATGCTGACAAATGCAAGCGAAGACGCGGACGGTCCCGAGGTAATATTGTTGACTTTTGTGTCGGGGCGGACGACCGCGTGGAACGTGAGTGAATTTACCGAGCTACTGTTGTAAACTCAGTTTAAGCGGTTGAAAATTATCCAGCTGTATTTTATCATCCCGGAAAGACATATTTTATTTGGATGCTAGCTGTTTAGAGTTGTTTTATAAGGAGCGTCATGAGCGTGGTTTTGTCTTCCGTGTTTCTAAGCGTGATCGTTTTGGGGGAATTTCTCTTATATAGCTCGCTCTGTGTGGCTTATTTATAATTTTTATGCTGATTTCGATAATTCCTCGTGCTCATCCTACCAGGCCTTTTGCCACTTACACTCATCAAGAAAGGAAAAAACTAGATTTTCATTGGGACTAGGTGTTTTGAGGGTGTAACATATTCAGCGTTCCCATTTTTAGATACTTCCTTGTACTCGTCAACTATCGGTGATAAACAGACAGGTGCTTGACATGTCTCCACCCTCAGCGCGGACGGTGGATATAGGTATGGAAGACCTTGTTGAACATCGCTGAGCGTTGTGAATTACGAAATCCTGCAGAGGGGGGCGTGCCCGCTGCGAGATCGACGGGAATAAAAGCGCAGAAGACCGGGCGAAACATGCGACGGTCTTGCCGGAAAGGTCATCTGATGATTGTTGCGTTAACAATAATTTGCGGCGTTGGACGTGATGCTTGTTAATGAAAAGAGCCCCTGAAAGGCGTCGGTGAAATCGTTCCCAATTTTGGGTACGCCGTTCCCATAATAAGGAACGCTTGCAGCGCCAGTGTACGAGAGCGTTCCCAAATTTGGGCTCGCGGCCCGGATGATGGACTGCTTTAGAAATAGGGGAACGATTTGAAACTACGATGGGCCTTACAATATCAAACTCTTTCCCAACAATATTGAGACAAATATCAGGCGGTTCACGATCGTTTTATATTTTTTGGACGTCATTTAACGGTTCTTTTTCTTGTTTTAAATAATGCCTACATGGCGTTCCCATATTTGGGTTTATCGTTCCCAAACATGGGAACGAAAATGCGTTCCCGAAAATGGGTACGCTTGACCATAGTTCCGCCTACTGACATATTGTAAAAAAGTCATGCTGATATGTTACACTTCAAGTAGGTAGGTAAATTCCCATTGCTCAGAAATGAATTCTTCATTTGAATATTAATTAAAATAGCAATACTGAACGAGACTTACTAGATGTTGCTGGGTGCCTAATCTTACCAATGTTTGTTTTGTAGTGGCTCTATTGGGAAAATAGGTACTCAATTGGAAAATTATTTGCTGTCAGGTAAAATAAGGTAAAGTAAAGTAAAGTCAGGTAAAGTAAAGGTCAGATAATTAGGTCAATGGTCATCATGTCCTATTTTCCCTGACTTTGCCACTTTTGCCATTAATGAATGGATGGAGCCAAAATATTATACAAAAGTATCCATGAGATCTTATGAAAAAAGTTCTTTTCAAATTTGATCATAAGCGAGGATTCAACCTTGGATCAATGTGCCAAGGCCATTAACATTATCAAATGATTCATGACTATCTTTGAAGGCCCAAGGCTTGTCAGAATGGCCTGAGAGGGCTCAAAATCTTTAGATACATTACCTACCTGCTCAGTAAACTGATTATGGTCGGAAACATCTCCATCTTACAGGGTCTCCAACTATGATACATCCTGCTCAGACCAGGGGCATTCATCCTGCTCTGTTCTGCTTCCTCTGGAACACACATTTTGAGTCACTGCAAAATGTTTTTGACTTACACTTGGCCTTTTGGATTGACTGAAGGTATTTTTTTATAGAATCATTTCTCTGAGGCCCTTTAATTGAAGCCTTTTTGCTTTTTTAGCTTCATTGCTAAGGGATGGGGGCGACAATGCAGCTGGAGAGCATACTTTGGGCCTAGCCCAGCGAGGATGTGATGTGCGATGGCACTTGTGCTGTCAATGACACTTGTTCTGGTCACCAGGTGCTGACTGCTGCTGACAATGGCAGGCCAACAGTACTGTCTAAGATGGAACGACTTCCAATCCAACATGGTCTCTTCTTTCAAACATCTGCGCAGCGAGAAGAACTTCCTGGATGTGACGCTCGCCTGCGAGGGTCAGACATGCAAGGCACACAAAATGGTCCTCTCTGCCTGCTCACCCTACTTCAAAACGCTTCTAGAGGTAAGATTCACCACCCTGCTCATTTTCGCGCAACCGTTGACATTGGTGAGCATGCCATAAAGCATCATTTATAGGCGTAGGAACGCTTTTGAAAGTGTGTGGGGGGAGGGGGAGGGGTAGGCTCTCAGAGACACCGATGACGGCGATAGCATTCAGCTCTGTGTTGTCTGTATTTCATAGTTTAGCTCTCAGGCCATAATACAGTGCGGTAGATGCAAGAAAATAAATGCATTGGATGACATGGCGCTTTTTAATGTGCGTAGATACGTGCTAATTACATTTGTAATGAAGCAATGCAATGCTTTTTGCAGGTCTCACATCTCACATCACATTATAACTTCTGTCCACCAGTGTCAGGGGTGATGTTAACAATACCAGCTGTTCCTGCACCTTTTATGTTATTTGAGGCAGGAGCTCGGCCTTCATTGGGCCTTATAAAAACAAATATCTACACAATCCAATGGCTTTAGTAAAACCCGCGTAACAGCTTATTCCGAACTCCCGTGACTTATTATTAATGCCGTTATATTGCACAAAGCACGTGCTGAGAAAAGGGCTAAATATTGCAAATAACGATGCTTCAAAATGGTGTAACTTTTTAAAATTGAAATGTGTTATTGCTGGGTGAATCAGGTAGTCGATGACATTTGCGTGAGAAAAAAAAGCATTCTGGTTAGTCTCAGCGGTTTATATAGCCTTGGTCTCGGCAGAAAACACTACGTGCGAAGTTTATTAAGATTGTTTTCATTTCGGTTTCGGATATTGTGCATTGTGCAATAGCCTCTAGTGTGGTGCGACACATTGCAACTCCCCCGTTTAAAATGTTTGGTCTCCGTTGACGTCCGCCATCTCGGGTTGTTGGCGAGCCGTGGTGCGGTTCGCTGAGCTCCGCGACTGAGTGGCCGACGCGCGCGGTGCGGTCCGCTGGTCTGACGCTCTGCCGCCCCGCAGGAGAACCCGTCCAAGCACCCGATCATCATTCTGAAGGACGTGCCATTCAGCCACCTGCAGGCCATCCTCGAGTTCATGTACGCCGGCGAGGTGAACGTCGGCCAGGACCAGCTGCCCGACCTGCTGAAAACCGCCGAAAAACTCAAGGTCAAGGGACTCATTGATGTCAACAAGATGTGAGGCGTCTCCGTCGCGTAGAGCGGGTGGTTCGGGGGGGGGGGGGGGGCAGGCTATTCTGGGGGGACTGGGGGACTGACTAGGTGATCTTTGTGGCGCGGATGGCCGTGCAGCCCTCGCTCTCGTGGGTAGCTGGTTAGGCCGGTGTGGGGTAGAAGTCTCCAGCGGGGTCTGTTGACACTGCGGACGATCACCAGCTCAGGTCTTGCAGTTTGTGTGAGATGCGGCAAAAGCCATCGCGTCGCGGTAGATCTGGCGAGGGCCTTTGGACATACGCTGGATAGTGGATATGACCTTAGAACCAGTGTGCTTACTCGTGGGCTATGGCCAAAAGCCAGCCGGGTGACTGGTGACGGCCAAACGGCCCGCCTACCTGCCGGTCGGGGGGGGGGGGACGGGAAACGCTGTCTGCCGGGTGGATTGCACGCCCCCGAGTGCGGTGGGCAGGCAGCCGGCCACGCCCTCGCTCAGAGCGGGCGTGCGGCCCTGCTGGGTGGGTAGCCGTTCTAACCGGGCGGCTCTGGAGGATACCGCCCGTACCCGGGCCTCGGACGCTCTGAGCGCGCGCGGCCGAGGCGCTGACGGGGGGGGGGGGGGGTATTGAGCGGGTTGCCAGCCGACGGACATGCTATTGTGTCAGCGGTGTGCGATTGTTGATGTCCATTTCAATCGTGCCTCGCGCTATTTTTGTCATCATGAATCCGATGGAATTTGTTCTTTAGTTTTCATAGATGGATTTTCTCTGCTGATGACATGTCTCACAACTGACGTTTGTTGACGAGGTGATATGAATACATGTCAACATTTGTTCTCTCGTTTCCTAGGAAATTTTCTTTTGTGCTCTCATCGCGTTGACAAGTGTGCAGCTCATGTTGATGATATACATAATAGATGGAGATGGAATGGGCCTGCTTTGTGCAATTTTGTACGCATTCTGCGATGATTCTGAGTGCGGCAGCGGCTGAGGTCCATACGACAGCGTGCCCCCCCCCCCCCCCCATTACCAGCATTAGAACATCTGATTATGCTCAGTTTTTGTACTTAGTCTGGCTGCTCAGCTCAACTTTGATGACTTATTTCTTCCTGTTCATTTTGCCATTAGCTAATGAAATTTAACTGTAAAAATCTTGTGACCAGTTTCTTTATAATACTCGTTATGCCATTGCTGGTTATTCTTGTCTAACATTCAGGCGGGCTATTGACCCTTTTTATTTATAGGTACATATTCCTGTTCCCGGGCAGTTTTATGTGCACCAACCAGAACATAGCAATCCAACACTGCCCACATGGCTCGACCAATAAGCGTTAGTGTGCGCCGGCGAGCCCCATACTTTACCGGCAGACACCGGCTCAATTCTGTCTGTCCTCTCGCGTCGGCGGTGCCCCCGCTGGCAGCCGAGCACCGGGCTGGGGAGTCGTCCCACCGGCTCTGGCGGACCGGTTCGTCTCCCGGCGGGTGGGTCGGCGTCCGGCCGGCACTGGACGGCCACGGAGCCACCGCCCCGGCCAGAGTACGGCAGCTCGAGGCGGTCCTGACTAGACAGTAGTTATCCCTCGTACTGGGGCCGCATTACTGCAATTGCGACTACCAATTACCAGCATCATTTCTCTAAATGGCGCCCGGAGTTACTCTGGGCGGATATTGTGCGGTCAGTCCCACTGTTAGTCGACTACAGAGTTATGTTCCACTTTTCACAGGCAATTATTTGCCTGGAGTGATAGGCTGTGCCGCATCACACGGGCTGGGTTCACAAATTATAGCTTTGTCCCAATGTTCACAATCGACACGCATAATTGCGTAATAAACGGCACAACTTAGCGCTCCGGTCAACTGATAGCTTCTGAGGGGTGGAACATCATTCTGCAGTCGACTATACGACTGACCGCACAATGTCCACCACCACACACGCGTATAACTGGGGCCACGCACGGTATTGCAATCCGTCTGCATTTGTGCGACTGCCAACTGGCAGCATCATTTCCCCAATGGTGCCCGGGGTGCGCCTGACGTAATATCCCCCACCGCGACACACGCACATCGACTCTGTGATTTATTGCCGTCTCCCGTCTGAGCCGCTGCGCTGGGGCGCGGTGTCCCCACACACCACTCACTGGAGGACGGCGTACGCACGCTGTACCCGGTACGCGGCAGTACAGCGTGCAGTGCGGCGACAGCGCCGACCGGGGTCAGCGCGGCGCTGTCCCACTCTGTGCTAAGAACACACAGACACTCACACCGCACCCGCGACCACACACGCTCCGCACACTACACAGGCGCCCCATACAGCCGATAAATATACCAACCACTCTGCACATGCCGTGGGTACTGGCGGTACTTGGAGGCCCTTGCCGGAGTCGCCTGTATACGATATTTTACACGCTGCGGCGCCTATTTCTGACAACAGTCACCACACACGTCTGCGGTCAACACAGAGGTTATACTCATCAGGTATAAGACGATCAATATTCACCTGGGACGGGCAAGCAGTCTGCCCACGGTGCCGGTACACCTTAGCCCTGCATACGCCAGGTGAACGTATACGGTACAGTACTCGGGTACCTAAGCCAGTCAAGCTGCATGCGCTCGGTACTCTGTACGGTACGGTAGGATGCCAAATTCACTAGCCATCCAAGTAAAACGGGATCGGACGCAGGTCGCTCGCTTCCTTGGGGTTCGAATTCTGCCACACGACCCCCACTCAGGGCCAACCGAGCCCCACCGCCCCTCGCCAGGGGGTCCACAACCACCGACAGACTGTGCGCATAATAAAACTTTAAAACACGGCACATAACAAAAACGTCACTGGACAGTAAATACTCTGCACTGAGTGGCCGCCGCACTGCGCGGCCCGTACGTAGTGTACGGATGGACAGCCACCTGACCTGACCTGACCTGACCGAGCCAAGGCGCCCTGTGCGGCTGACCTCAGACCTGCGCTGCACGAACCGCCTGAGCGAACCACTTCCTCAGCCGCGAGCGATGAGGTCTGCGGGTCCGCTGGCATGGCGTCACCGGGCGGCCGACTATCACTGATCCCTGCTCTCCAGCTGACTAGTCAGTCGTGGCGTGACGTCAGTGGTCGGCCGGCTGACACGTCACTGGTCCGGCGGCGCCGTCACCAGTCCGGCGGCTGAGCCGCTGACGGCCGGCCGCTAGCTCTGCTGTAGTAGCAGCGTGGTGGCCACGTTGATGTCGTTGTTGGAGGTGCGGAGGGCGTCCTCCACCTGGTCGCGCTGGAAGCCCATCTCCACCAGGTGACGCACGCAGGCCTCCGAGGGCGCCGCCGGCTCCGCCTCTGCGGGAGTCGGACAGCGACGGCGTCACACACTGCACCGCGCGATACGACATGGCGAACAGATGCGTTTCAAAACGACTCTCTAACTGATACAGGACAATGATCAGTACCTATCGATTTGATTACTGACAAAACAGTGCAAAGGAAACATGGAAGATGAGTGAATACATCAGTGAAGTCTGATTCAATACATTTATAACTGCATAGGCCCGTAAAAATGAAGCGCATCCGTTAGCCATTCATTCAAATCTAAGGTCAACGAAACGACCATCACGTATTCAATCACATGATTAAACTTTCTGACAAGATTGTGCTCAGCTTCGGCTGCAGGAGCGAGTGACAGGTACAAAAGTCGCTCTCGCGTTAGCACAAGGCGAAGAGCTATGAGCCCGCTTCGGGTGCAAGAACGACTGCCGCAAAGACAGCCGCTCTCGCACTGAGTTTGAGGAGCGCGGGGGAGGACCGTGTACCGGCGGCGTGGCCGTGACCCGCCCTGCCGCGGTGGCACCTACCCTGCCGCGGTGACACGTACCCTGCCGCGGCGGTGGCACCTACCCTGCCGCGGTGGCACCTACCCTGCCGCGGTGGTGGCACCTACCCTGCCGCGGTGACACCCACCCTGCCGCGGTGGGACCTACCTTGCTGCGGCTGGTGATCGGCGGCGGCTGCTGCAGCTGCGGCCCGCTGCCGGCCGAAGAACAGACCGTTGAGCGGCTGGTCGCCGTGACCCACCAGCTGTTCGGCGTACCCCTGGCCCTGCTGGTGCCGCGCCTGTGCGCCGCCGCGGCCCGCGCCCTGCCGGACATACCACACTCAGACCGGACCGCATAGCAGCTCAGGGCATGGACAGACAGTGCACATTTGAAACAACGCTTACCAGTTTATCTTGCATAAACTCACACACCAATTATGTTAAAAAACATCGTTTACAGAATTTAGGACTCCCATCACAAATGGAGTAAAAGCCATCTATTTGATGACGGAGGCGTAAGGTGCCCACATACTCGGAATATTTGTACTTATAGCGTAGCCTTCCCTGCCAAAGATGATAAAACGAAATCAATCCTCCAGCTTCAAGCGATACTCAACTGAGCATTTGATTTTTTTTTTTGCTTTTAGCGTTTGAAGAGAGCCATCACACGCTCATAGTGTTTGACAACATCGACACGATCGGTTGGCCGGACGTCTCCCTGACTGTGATGTCGCTAGGTCACCGGTACGTACCGCGTTGCGCTGTCGCATCTCTCGATATCTATCCAGCAGCATCTGTTGCTCGAGCATGTCGATCTGCTGTTGTCGCTGCGCCTCCAGGGTCGCCGCCATCGGGCCGTCGGTGGGCGGCGACGAGGAGAGCAGTCTGCCCAGCGTGCTGTCAGCCAGCCAGCAGAGCGCCGCCGGCAGCCGCAGACGACCCAGCCGCAGCGGGCTGCACCGGTACAGCAGCCCGGCCGCCTGGCGGGCGGCGAGCACACAGTCAGGCACGGACACGAGGGTAGACACACAGTCATGGGCAGCTCAGAATCGGTCAGCCCGGCAGCACTGCCCATCAGCCGTCACTTGCACCGTCCTCGACATCAGCAACCAATTACGCTGCGACAACAAAAACACCATCCTGGCCGCACAACGCAATGTTCTCCGTCCCACAGCACACTGTTTTCTGCCCCACAGCGCGCTGCTCCGTCCCAGCCCAACGCACTGCCCCTCCACCCACCCTTCCCGCCGGTGGACTCACGATGCCACAGGCGGCGCTGAGGCCGGCCGCCGCCGACGTCGAGCAGATCTGCAGCCCGATCAGGTAGGTGAGCGTCTTGCCGGTGACGGGCGCGCCCAGGATATGCGTGGTGGTTACCCGCGGCACGTCAAACAGGTACGGCACGAACAGCGGAAACACCAGACCGTACCTGTGTGCGCACAGAATCGTGTTGTCATGTTATCGACCGGGGCTGAGTTCACTGTTCTCAATTCAGAACAATTTGTTGACCACCCATCGACAAGACAGCTTAAAAGGCTCCTAATGGTTCGAAGAAAAAAAAAAAACAGTCTACACCATCCTGACAGCAGGCTAAAAGCTGTACGGACTTCAGGCAGTTTCGTATTCCAGTAGAGAAGACTTCCATAATCCATACATCCAAACATTCGAGGGCTATCGATCCGAATAGTCGCTACTTCGTCGCCTCGCAGTCAGATACCGCATTGTCACCGTCACAGTCACCCCCCCCCCCCGCAGCCGTCGCAAGTCCGAGCTATAGTCTACTCACGGTCCGGGCGGCAGCAGTCTGCCGGGGTACAGGTCCAGGCCGAGCCGCTGTGTCGCCAGCACACAGAGCACCTCCAGCACAGTTGAGAGCGTCCACGTCACCAGAAGGTGACTGGCAAACTTCCGCGACCCGTATCGACGCTCAAATATTCTGAAACAAGAAAATGAAATAAACTCGCTGTGCTGACATTTGGTTGTCAAATCGAGAAAAAACAGCTCATCATATTTTCTTTCGGATTCGGGTTTTAACTTCAGCCAATTTCGCATGTCTAAAATAAAACGATCGTCTTTTTCTTTTTCATTCGGCCATTTAAAAGTACCGAAAAACGGGATTTCATTGTACATTGTATTCAAAATTCAAATGTACGTAGGTATGGTTTAAATTGGTACTACACACTTTGTGCTAATGAATGATAGTTTTTCAGGGCGTCATGAATGCCTCAGCAATTAACAATGATCAAGCATTGATCCTACCCAATAATCAGCATCTTTGAGCGGGCAGTGGGCTAGTGGCCTCCTGCCGTCGAGCTCGGGCACCCACCGGAAGTAGTAGATGAGCAGCGCGCTGCAGACCAGGTCCTTGGTGTCGACAAACGCCAGCCGCGATGTGACCAGCCGATAGAACAGTGGGGAGCCGAGCATGTCCGGCAGGCGACACTCGAGCTGGTGGCGCAGGTGCGCCAGCAACGGCACGTTGATGGCCGTGCACGTGAGGAACAGGCCGCCCATCAGACCCTTGCTCACCGGCGCCTTGTCTGCCGATAGAAGCATGCAGGCAAGGCTCAGGAGAGGCCAGTGGCAGTCAGTCCCAGCTGAGGATGTATGGTCTGGTCATATTTGGGTCCTCTGCTGGGACAGCAAAACACTGTCAAAGAGTTTAAAATACCATGAATAAGAAATCGTTTTGATCGATGGAATAGAGACGATTTAAGATAAGAATACATTTTGACTTGCTCATTGATCCATAATTAATGGCAATCAGATAGGCCCATATATGATACAAAGTTGTTTAATAATGTCTACATTTTGATGCATACCTATTTGATTCTATTTTTGTCCTCAAGGTAAGTGTGCCAGTCAACAAAATAAGCAATGTCACCTGCATTTCAGTACCTACATGTTGCACACAAAGGCAGAAAACTCACAGAATCCAGTAGTGCTGTACTGGGACAAAACAGTTGCCATGATGTGTTGACTCTTTTATCACTTGACTAAGGTAATCTCTGAAAGGCAAGGTGGTTAGGAACTGAGCAGTCATGCAAAAGCAAACAAAAGAAAACAAGCAGAGCTGCTTGTTTTCTTTTTTCAGCTCTGAAATGAGTTGACCAACAACAACCATTGCAACTTGCAAATGGTTAGTGGTACCTATGGGCTATGCCACAGCCCAATGGTCAACACTGCATGTGGCAATGTATGAAAGACAACACACAGAATACACACTGGGTCATATCCAGGTACATCAGCTCAGGCTGTAGCTGATAGATATTGCTTTTTTCTTAAACCCTGGGAAAATGTCAAAGTGTATGTATTTAAAACTCTCATTCAACACAACAAAACAGTCTCATTCACTGGTATTTGATAGTACTCTGCTGGCAGATAAGTAAGAAACTCAAATCATCTGTTGTTCTCATCAGAAAGCAGTTGAGTGAAGCATACTGCTCCTGCTAAGCTCATAATTAATTGTAAATGCTAAGATGTCAGTGCGCCGTTTGCAACCTTAAACTATATAGGGGAAGTTGGGGGAACGCCGAATACTTTTTTTCTGACGCCCGTAGCACGCAAGGTAGACAACATAAGCTATTCTTGTTGGCGTCATTCGAGAGGCCAGTCTTTTGCCTTTCAAACATACCAGGCGCATTTGATGAATTCGCATACCGTTAAGCGCACAAACTAAAAATATCAAAGAAGTGACTTTTTCGGCGTTGCCCCGGACTGCGGGGAAAGCCGAAAATGGGAGAAATGATCTACGGGGAATGCCGACATTGATGTTTTGCCACTTTATCTCAAACTTTATCCAGAATTTATCAAAGCTGACACGCGTTTTAAGAGCTTGAGGACGCTTGGCGCACAGTGGAAGTTATAATTGTGTGATCTAATAAGAAAATGCCAGGTAAATAATTCCTTATAGGTAACAGGCCGTTGTGTCGGTTGAAAGTGTAATTTGTGTGACTAAAAATTCGCGTTGCTATTCTACAGCAGTAAAGTCCACGTTAGCGTGCTTTAACGTGCGTAATTGCACATTTTCGGCATTACCCCAGCCAGCCATACTTTCATTTGCAGGCCCATAACTTTTCAACGTGCCGTATAAATTTCAAATAGGCAGCATACTTATGCAAAGACATGCTGAAGATTACTTGACCGAATTGGCCAGACAAACGGTAGCATAATGAGTAAGAAATGCAGCTTCAAAGGCGCATGTAGTACAAGGAACGCGTACCTTGAAAACGCTCTTGGCGCCCTCACAGCCGAAGTATTCCGAATGACGACTCGTAACAAACATGCGATAATTGTAGTCACTTAAGCTTCAGAGCATCACTGACAGGTGGCATCCATGTCTTACGGTTTTCGAAATATCTCGAATTTCGGCTTTGCCCCAACTCCGGCATTGCCCCAACTTCCCCTACTCCTGCTTGTCTGATGACATCTGGGCCCTGTTTCACCGGTGATAGCAGCACGCTGCCACACTAATGACGTTTCGTGTAATCCGTGAGCTTTTTCACAGCTACGTTTGGAACAAAGTTGCTGTCTCATTGAATGCATTTGATACATTTGTTTGATTGCACGGCTGTGAAGATGTTAGCAGCAATATTAGATGACATCACACAGATTGACAACGTTATGGTTTATTGATGTCTCCATGGAAACCCAATTTGACACGTGTAATAGCAGCGTGCTGCTATCACCGGTGAAACAGGGCCCTGGTGTGACCGTGTGCTAGCTCACTGACCTACTCGTTAACCCGGTTTACATAGCATATTTGACGAGGCTCCAGCTCGTTAATTTGGCGATAATTTCGTTGCAGTGGTCTTCAAATATTTAGAGGGGATCATTTTGTAACTTGTTAAGCACCATTGGCATCTTTTGCAACATCACGGATGGAAATATAAGCTTGCAACAAACCCTATGTAAACGCGTCTATTGACACACTGTCAATGAACTTTTCTCAATACTAATGGCTTTTTTGTATTGTTAGACATATTTATAGAATCTGATGGCCAAAAGATGCAAACCAAAATGATAAAAAATCCTGTTGATTTAGATGATTTAGAATAAAAAACAAACAGATTTAGACTTTAATTATCATTTTGGTTTGCAACTATTGGCCATCAAATTTTATAAATAATGGTTTTCCCAGGCCTATAGGCATGATTATTTTTGTACAAAAACAAGACCAAACCGTTGGGCATGCCTGTAAAATCAAGAGTTTTCTTAGAACGCAAATAACAATAAAAATAGCTCGTCAGATAACATCTTGTCCTAGTATTAATCAAAATATTCACTTCATATAGCGTCAATCATTTTATTTCAATATTTTGATTGTTGATCAATATAATAGATAGAATTAACACATACATACATACATGACTTTTACTAGCAGTACATATCAGTAGGGCCCTGTTTCTTGGGCACACCGCCACAGTGCGCTGCAGATTTGGTGCAGCGCCAGCGACAAATTCAATGAGATGCTTCAGCATTGCAGCATGGTATCAGTTTCAGTTTATTTTGTTGATGTTTCGGTATTAGTATATATTAGGTCCGAGTGGACAATTGTGACGCTGTTGATACAAATATGTAACAGCAAAAAAATAAGGTTTCAGGTAAGGTTAGGTTGTAGGTTTGTAGGTTTTAGGTTGGTAGGTTTGTAGGTTTTAGGTTGTTAGGTTAGGTTGTAGGTTTGTAGGTTGTAGGTTTTTAGGTAAATAGGTAAGGTTAGGTCAGGGCCCTGTTTCACCGGTGATAGCAGCACGCCGATTTTACGACTTGTCAAATTGGGTTTCCATGGAGACATCAACAGGCCCATTGCTCCAACACTACCACAAGTGTGGTAGTGTCACATTCGTCCGTTGGTCGTGCCCGAGTGTGGACGCTGGATTGCTCGCTACGAAAGCTGCGCACATAGTTCTCAGGGAGTAACTTTAATTTCGATTGGGATTTTGATTTATTTGTAATCAAAGTCATTTAATTTGTGTTTTTGTGTTTTCTTTTTCATTAGTTTATAGTTTTCTGGTTAATCTGGGGAGTCTAAGGATGGAGATTGCTGACGTTAAAAAACTTGTGACTGAGATGGTGGGGCGGGAGACTGCCGCTTTACGTGAGGAGATAAAACTTGTGAAAAATGAACAAAAAAAGATGGGAGAGGTGATTGAAAACTTAAAAAAAGAAAATAAAAAGCTGCGTGAGGATCTGACCCAAGTGGACAGAAACTTGGATCAGGCTGAGCAATATAATAGAAAGACCTCTCTTATTCTGGAGGGCTCATTCCCTGAGTTCAAGGAGGGGGAGACCACCAGTGAGACGAGAGAGGCAGCCTTGTCGGTAAATGTCAAGTTTAAGTCCTAAGAAGATTTCATTGATTAATTTTACATATTTATACATTATTTGACATCCTGAATCCAAAATGATACTCATATGTCTCGCAAATAAAAGAAAAAAACATAATCAAACCTGACCTAACCTTACCTACTTACCTATAACCTACCAACCTACAACCTACAAACCTACCCTAACCTAACCTAACCTACAAACCTACCTACCTACAACCTAAAACCTACAAACCTACAACCTAACCTAACCTAAAACCTAAAATTTTTGCTGTTTCATATTCGTATCAACAGCGTCACAATTGTAGTTAGGACCTAAACTTGACATATACCGCCTTGTCTGTGATCAAGGAAAAGCTGAAAGTAGAACTTAAGGGTGGGATCACTGCGTGTCACAGGCTGAAAAACAAAAAGCGCGTCATCGTCAAATTCCAGGACCTAGATGACAGAGAGGCAGTGTATCAGGCAAAGTTTGAGCAAACTGGTGAATGGAAGGACAAGGTGACTGTGCATGAAAATCTAACGGAAAAAAGGGCTAGGATGGTTACACTCCTGGAGGAAATGAGAAAAAAGAAAGAGATAGCAAACTACTATACCAAAAATGGAAATATCATGGCTCGGGACAGCACTGACAAAAGATACAGCCTTATCCAGCCCTGGTATACTCCAGATGAAATCATGACCACCACACGCAGCGCACCCCTACGTCAGGCTCAAAGCAACAGACTCATGCAATCACAAACACTTCAGAACATCCCACATGGCTCAGTGTCTCGCAGGACAGCAGATCTTGAGGAGTTTGTGGTTGTCCGTCAGACCAGGCAGTCGAAAAAGAGTGATGGAAAGTAAAATAATCTGGTACTCTGGATGCTTGAGAAAATAGATTGTCTCCCGGCTTCTTGTCTGCCACCTGCCAACTTAGTACCTAACAATTTTTTTTTTTCAACATAATACCTACTACATGTGTGATGTGGAGTTGGATGTGCAGCCGTGTCAGTTTTGATGAACTGTTATGTGCAATGTGCATTGCGTGCTTGAGAAGCACATAGTCATGCTGATGAGCAAACACAACACTAAATGCACATCTTTGAATCTGATGTGTGATGTGCACACAAACCTGAGTGACACCTATCCTTTATGAGAGCCCGTATCAGCCCATATGAGAGCCCATATCAACATGCTATACTTAATGCTTTAATGACAATATGTCAACATTATTTGCCCTCCAGGCATGCATCTGCTAGCTCTGCCAATGCGCTATTGGAGCTACGTGGATCCATGTGGAATGAATGTGTGTGTGGATGAATGAATGTATGCTGAACAAGCAATTGCCTGGCAGAAAGGCTGTTTTAAATGTCTTAACCCTGGAGACTGGAGGTGCTCTTTCCTTCTAGATCAGTTAACAAAACACGCTTGTGTCATGCATGTTGATGTGGTGTTTGCTGGGTGTATCCTGATGGCTTGTGGTGTAAAACACAGACAAGCACCATTGCATTGCAATGGTTTGGAATATGTGAATATCAGTGCATACTGCATCGTCCCAGCTGTACATGGTGCTGCCTGTTAACTCCATATCACATATTCTTATACCTTTGCTAATATAAACAATACTACAGCTTGGACTCAGGATTGGGACATAGGAAAATGGGGGATTAGTCTATTGACTGACAGCATCTGAGTAG